ACCAATGTTTAATGTATTAATACAGACAAAACATTTTCAAATATTTTCAGAAAATGTTACACGCCAACTCCATCCATAATAATAAGGCTTCTGTTGCTTATGCTTATTTCACTTTCTAACCTCGAAGGCCAAAATTCGAAAAAAAACTTTTCTTTTTTATGATTTGGTAAGAAGCATCAGCAAAACAAAGAAAGAATTTTCTTTCGAACGATCACAATACTTCCCAACTCGGGAAACAAAGAATGCATAGACTATTTTGAATTCCAGATTTAAAAACTAAGAAAATATTACATTTCTTTTGTTTTAAAGAACACACTGTCATTCAAAAATGAACTCTATATTTCTGCTCATCTATGGGGAAACTTTAGCTTCGAAATCTGAAGTCAAATGTTGGCGAACGAGAGGCATCGGTATTTTTCAACGAAATTTACCACCTGAAATTTACCATATAAAAATATAGCGAAATTTACCATCTGAAAATATAGCGAAATGTAACATGAAAAAGCAGTGACTTTTGCCATCTAAAAAAAATACCGACATTTATCGTTTGAAAATATAACGAAATTTTTCATTTAAAATTACTGAAATGATATGAAAAAATAGCGAAATTTATCTTCTGAAAAAATACCGAAATTTATTATTTAAAAGAAAGGCGAAATTATTTTCTGAAAAAAATAACGCAATTTATCGTCTGAGAAAATAGTGGCAATTATCCTCCGAAAAAAACAAAAATTTAACATTTGAAAATATAGCGAAATTCGCCATCTAAAAAATAACATTTATTTACCATACACGAAAGTAACGATATTTACCATCTAAAAACTAACAGAATTTACCATCTAAAAACTAACAGAATTTACCATCTAAAGACTAACAGAATTTATCATCTAAAAAATAACGGAATTGTGAGATTTATATTTTCTTTTATCCCTTGACCCGAACAGTCGTAGGGACACTATGTGTACTGCAGTCTCAGTAGAAGTGGTGTTTCTTGGGTAAGATAGTCTGACGGAGCCCAAACCTCTCCAGGCAGGTTTGGAATTCAGATTTGTCCTTCTCCTAGACCAGTTGCCACCCAAGTCTATAGAACCCAGTCGGTTCTGCTATTTATCCATATCTAGGGGGGGGGGAGAAGAAGAGGATTTATAACCTTTCCCAAGGTTATTAGCACGTAAGTGAATGTAATGGATCCGACTCGAACTAGGCTCTCCAATTCCTCAATCCGAGTCGCTATCCATTACTCTACAGTATCTCCAATTTACCATTTAAAAGATGACGAAAGTTATCACCTTACAATGTTAAATTTAACTTCAGAAAAATAGGAGTGTAAGATATTTTTTCTTCTTTAACTTAACATATCATGTCCCTTCAAGATCTGAGTGATCATGGCTCTACAGAATGTCCTGCCTTTGTTAATCAAACCTATATTAGACTCCTTATTACCCCCGACACTCCCTGCTCTGTCATCTATTAACACAATCGCTTTAGGCACGTTGCTCGATATGTCTCGATTGTCATTATTCCCTTTAATAGGAATATTATCCGTTTCTTTATAAGGAAATATTCGAATGTCATTAACCGAATATGCATTGCTGCTGTTCGTTGCAATTTATAGAATCTTTCTCTTAAAATAATTTTTCAAAAAATAAGTTTCTCAAGTACAGTAATTGTTATATCTCTTTCCACTATTAATGAAGGTTTCCTCCCTAACCTTCTATTTGATGATGCCATTATGTTCCCTTTGAGTTACCTCTGCTATCCATTTGAGTTCTTGCTGCAGTCGCTAGTACTCAAGTGGTTTATGCTATTTTGTACAGTTCATTGCTCGTGAATATGTAGCGTCAGTCCACAATATTCAAAGAAGAATGTTTTTTGCCAAGACGTTAATGTTTCATTTGCTCAAAGCCCTGATATGGAAAGTCGTTGACAGGGAAGCTCGGGTGATATCAACAATTAAGATATATGTGGAAATTATCATCATTAATAATGTGACATACTAGATATTGAATAAATTAAACTTATAATCATAGACAGTATTATTTTGTACAGATTACACCATTCATTTTCATTTTACTTATCAAGTCATTTAGAGGATATATGAAAAACGCTTGAAATTAATCCATCTTTTCGTGGTAAAACATTTCAAAATCCTTGTAATTTACGGATATATATATATATATATATATATATATATATATATATATATATATATATATATATATTTTTTTCATTGCATTTGTTTATCTTTAACCCTCAATCTATCAATGGGGTCTAATCAACCTATAATTTTTTCAAAACTATTTTTTCACCATCATTATCCGAATTAATTTTTTGTGAATTTTTTTCTTCATTTACACAAAGGAATTAAATTTAGAGCAAAAATTCAAATTTGGTGGGTAACTTCTCCTATTACTAAGTGGGTCCATTGAATCCATGGTTAATTTTTTTTTATTAAATAAAAAGTATAGTCCATTCTAAATAGGTGCCATTATGCTAAATCCTGTTTTTTATAAAAAGCTTTTCAAATTATTTTTCTTAGTTATATAATTATTGCAAAAGAATTCTAATAATATTTACTTAGACGTTTGAAGATGATGCAATACCACCCATTTTACTGCATCATCTTTATGAAACAAACAATTAGTATTGCATCATGTTTGACGGAATGCTGAAACATTGTATCATCATTCAACAAGTCTAAAAACAGCTTGCCAACTATTCATTTATTCTTTGACTGTAAAGTTGTAATCCTTCTGCAAAATGGCAAAGCTTCAAAAGCTAAAAACCTTGAAAATATTTCATAATTGTTATCCGCGTTAGATGAAGAGTGGAAAGAAGAAATTGGTGATGATTTTTCTTTTTTCTGAAGCTGCTAATGAAAGCGATAATATCAGCATTACTTATTCAGAATCGGATGATGGCATGAATGATGACAACAAAGCTGACAGAAAAATGATTCTTCAAAACATTTAATGATGAATGGTAAGTATTATTCGAAGAATAGGTTTCAAATTTGGTCTTCTGAACTAATTGAAAGGGCAATACGAAGAACTCCACCCTCCAATGTTTTACGTCAAAAACCTGGACCTTCATGTTTTGCAAGAAGATCTTGTGATTTAGCTCTTTGATCATATTGTCCATGAAGCCAAATCTCTTGGAAATAATCCCAAAAATGGACAAATTCTGAAGGAATTTAGGTCTCGTGGGCATTGATACAACCACAAACTCCAGTCAAGAATACACGGCCCATGAACTATCCAATGTGTCAAAGAAAAAAAAAAGGTGTACTTTCACTAAAATGAATAGAAAAACGCAAACTGTCACATTTGCCAAAAACATATCTGTCGAATCCATTTAAAAAATATTCCATGCAAAATGCTGTAATGAATTGTATTTTTGTCACAGTGAATAAAAGCGTTAGTTAGATCCAGTGACAGGACCGAAACGGTGTGAGTTCAATACCCGTTTAAGGCAGTGGAGAACTTGGAGAGGGGAATTAACAGGAGATAACTGACAGCTGACATCCGTTAAAACATGGCAAGTGGAACTAGAAAAGTCTTCCCCAGTAAGTGAAATAGAGGGTTCAGTTCGACATTCCAACCACCTGAAGAAGGCCGGAGCGTACAACGACCGAAACGTTGTAAGAAATATGGCGACACAGATGAAGGCAATAGTCCGAATAAAGCAAACAGTGTACATAATACTTTATCTAAGAAATATAGGCATATACTGAATTTGAATTAAGTTCATAATTTCAAACTAAATCCAAAGACGTATTGTATTTTTTTTTCTGTTTCAGTGAATAACTTTTAAAAGTGTTATTTCTTGTCCGTCTTTAATTCTTAATAATGCCTAATAGGAAAAATTCAAAAAGTTGGAATAGTTTTAAAAAAACAGAAATGTTACCATTGGACCGAGGTAGTATTTAATGGGAGTCAGTTTTCTTTGTAGACGGAGGGTTAAAGTCTATTTCTGCTATCATTCCTTAGAGAATAAAACGTAAACAAATAAATTGAAAAAGATTCGTTTCCTCCGGCTTCTAAATTCCTTTCTGGTTATTCAAAGTAAAAAAAAAAAAAAAATCATTACGGCAGTCAGAACGCGACTGATCCCGAGATGTCAGATCAGGACCAATAACATTGCAGATTCGTCTTTGAATTTTATCAAGTATTTCTATCAGGTACAACAATATATACGATGCAAATATGGTTAAATACACTTAATGTACACTTGAGTATAGAATAAGCAAGAAGATTGACAATAATCCCAACTTAATATACACTGATTACACCATAGAGATACATGCAAAATGAATATATGCACAATGCTCACGTACACAAAGTATATAACTAAACTATATACGTATATACAACTACACAATGCACAAAAAATACACAATCCATAAAATCAATTGTACAATAGTATCATGTATGCAAGTTCTACGACATCCACATACAGACCTGCATTATATCATTTTCCCTCTTCCTACCACCAATCACCAAGAATAAAATAAACAGTTAAATGAGTAAAAAAATAAAACAATAACTAATGCTTCCCACCCCGACTGGCACGTTCAACATATATATATATATATATATATATATATATATATGGATTAGATATTTCGGCATTAAGGGACATTAGAGGATGATTTGGAGAAGACTTTTATGGCTTTTTACTGATATTTTAAGATTTTTTTTCCAGAATAGATGTTAATTAACACAAATGCTAAGAGTCAGCCTCCATCGGTGCCCCTAGGCCAAAACACACTGTAAGAAGAATGTCAATATTTGCTAAGATAAAAAAGAATATCCCCGCCAACAAAATAAAGAAAGAAAGAAACAAACAAACAAAAAAGAAACATAAAAAATGGGGAGAGAGAAAAATCATCGCAAAAAAGAAACCAATAAAAATCCTGTACATCGCTCGTCTTAGCGCATCCACCTCAGTGGAAAAGGGAAGAATGAATAGTGAAAGAAAGATGAAGTCTTCCTTTTGGGCTTTTTTTTTCCCGCGCGCGTCCAACACTTATCAAATCGCTCGTAGTTAGAACGAGCTGGCAAAACTTAAAGTTTTTTGGGGTTTTTTTTTCTTCATAAAAGCCAAAATGCAATAGTCTCATTATAGTAGTAATTTTGTGTTCGAAGTTTTCCTGCTACAGTTTCTTCACAAAAAAAAAAAAAAAACCAGCATAGAAGAATTAGTAACGAGACTTGCAGTCAATAGTTATTTTTCTCTCATTCTGCTCATCGGGTTAGACAATGGCCTTATTTTGAATACTAACATTCGTAACACAATTTTTAGTAGTCTGCCGAAGAACTGATTGTTTCGTTCTTTACGGCTTATCAACCTTTTCAGGTTATGTGAAGCGAGAAAATATTAATAGGTTCTAAGAATTTCAGGGAGAGAATAATTATTCATACAAGTTCTACTAATTAAAAAATAGCTGGAGACGAATCGGTATATTCATACTTTTTCCAAGTGTATTTGCGCCTAAGTGAATATAACTAACCCGACTAGGATTGGAACTCGTATCTCCTCTTCCGTAATGAATAATAATCATTAGTGCCTCTCTCCTTTCCACCTTCTTACTCCACCTCCCTTTGAATTGAATTCTCTTTAAACGTTACGTAGCTACTTTTCTACTTTGACAACATTCATATGTTAACGTTGTGTTTAAGGGATTCATACATTCGTATCGCTTTTGTTGGCATCCATGTTTGTACGCAGCACCCATTGGTGTCTTTGACGTTGAGATGCGTCAGAATGCTACACGTACACTACACTTCAAATGTTTTAGGAAAACCTTGGTAAATTTTTTTAAAAGTAGTTGTTTTGCAGTTTTAATAAGAGAAAATTATTATACATGGTTAAAAATATTTGATACCTGATCTTTTTATTAGAAATTTTATTAAGAAAAACAAGCATTTTATAATTAAATTTTGCTCTCGTCAAAATATCCTCCTTAAGCCTTGATTACTGCAGAACAAATTGGTGGCATTCGTTGGAAAAGTCTCTGAAATTATAAGTTTGATAATTGATTCCATTCTTATTTCGATGACTCTAAGAGTTTTTTTTTTTTTCATTTTCTTTTTCAATCTTTTGTCAGGTTCATCCCATGCTAATTGAAAATTTTGAACTGTAGCGTATGTATCCAGTTTAATGATAAAAAGTGTAATCGCTGTGTGCCTTTGGTGAGAGATGTGAACTTTTCGTTGAAAAAAAATTATTTTGCTGTAAAGGTGTGTCAAAATTCTGTACGTATTTACGAAGTTTTCAGATAAAGTAATAACCTATTTACAAAGGCCTCTGTGGCCTTTAATGGAAAACGTATGAATTCATCGCTTCTTCCCGACCCCAACATCTGTGTGCTGAATATCAGGATAGACCGTGTCCTATAGCTTTGATTGGCAATCAATCTAGCGCAGAAAGAAACGACACGCTACGGCAGGAAAATGTTCTGTCTTGGCCGTCATGAATCGAAACAGACATGATCGACGAAAGCGTGTATCACCTATAGCATTTTTTTTCTTTTAACTTTTCACCCCAAGCAAGGCGGGAATGCCTCTAGCACACAAGGGGTTACAGAGAGTGGGAGAAACAGTAAAGAGGCGTGAAAGAGGAAAGGATGAAGAGAATGATGGGGAATAGATCAGGGCGCACGGAGATGATTTTACATTGCATTTGAATAGTTAGAGATTATATCTATCAGGGAAGCAAGGAAGAGGAAGGGAGTTCCACAGGCGTGAAGTGCGAGACATGAAGCTATTGGAGTAGAAGAGGCGGCTATATTGATATTTCAACATTGAATATGAGGGACTGAGATGCCGACCTAGTGGCACGTTTAAATTCATGCAGTTTGGGAACTAGCGAAAATAGCTTGTCGGAGCAGTTACCGTAAAAGTATTTGTAGAAAAGACAGAGGGAGGCGACGGCACGTCTGTGAGAGAGAGATTGCAAACGAGATGCCAGATAACTGAAATAGTAATCATTTTCCTTTATATATGTATAGTCATGATAAAGTTAATCTTTGCTTCGTAACTATTTAATGGATTTCCCACAGTTGAAGTTATGTAGCCATATTTATTAAATATAGATGTATTGGCGTAGTTAGGAAAAGCTTTAGATTCTAATAGACAGATATTTCTGGCGAAATATTCGCCATTATTATTAAACTTTTACATTATATCTTATTGCTATAAACTTTATATTAAGCTAGCAGCATGGCCCGGCGATGCCCGTCCTTGATTCAAAAATCGTACGTCTCATATAGCAATCACTATCACTTGACTTAAAATATTTTTGCCCTTTCTTGCCTTTAAAGGAGTGCCCTTTGCCGTGCTGATGTTGCTACATGCCTTACTTCTCACACTGCGAATTTTTTATAAGCTCTATACTAAACATTAGAATCTGTTATGAAAAAAGAACTAAACAAAATGAACACAAAACGATCAGCTTTAAAAAAGGATCCGTAACTGGAAAAACCGAATGAAAAAAGAA